GTTTGTTATCGATGTGGCATGAAAAGTCATTGGTCACATACCTGTCATACACCAAAACATCTTGTTAAACTTTATCAAGCACCACTAAAAGATAAAGGAAAAACCATTGAAATAAATTTTGTTGAAGATGATAGCTAAGTTGATATAGCACACTTAGATGTTGCTGATTTTTTTGCCCACCCTGAAAGACGAATCGATCATTTGATTGGTGATGGGAATCCTAATAATGAAATTTCTTAAATTATTTGATGATGTGTTTTAGTACAACTCTATTAGGAACTTGGTATATTTAGTATTATTCTATTAAGAAGTTAATATGTTTTAATATATCTATTAGGAAGAGTTTTTTTTGTGTTTTAATAACAAATTTTATATTTAATGTTCTTTTATGTAAGTTTCTTACTATACATAACTTTTATTTTCTTAAAGAAAATATAGATATTCATCTTGTTAGACTTAAGATCAATGATGAAGACATATGTCTAATAGGTAGTGCTACAATGTACACTATATTTAAAGACAAGAAATGTTTTTTTCACTTGACAATGGAAGAAGCTAATGTGCTGTATTTGGTAGTACAAGATTAATTAAAGGCTCCGAAAGAGCTAATATTTCACTACCTAGAGGAACAAGGTTTATAATAAAAGATGTATTACTTTCTACTAAGTTTCAAAGAAAGTTATTAAGTTTTAAAGATATTCGTTTGAATGGAGATCATATTGAGACAACGAATGAAAGAGATACTAAATACTTTTATATTACATCTATTATATCGGGTAAAAAGTGTGTATTAGAAAAATTATCTGCTTTGTCCTCTAGAATGTACTACACAAAAATTAAACTGATTGAAACTTATGCTATAGTAAACCAGAAGTTTACTGATGATTTTAATATTTAGCATGACCAGTTAAGCCATCTCGGATCAATAATAATGCAAAAAATTATTAAAAATTAATGTGATTATCCGTTGAAAAACTAGAAGATATTTCAATTTAATGAATTCTCATGTGCTGCATGCTCTCAAGGTAAATTAATTATAAGGTCATCACCGGCTAAAGTTGGGATTTAATCCCCTACATTTTTGAAACATATTCAGGGTGATATATGTGGACCATTCAGCTATTTGTATGGATTTTATTGATGCATTAACAAGATGGTCACATGTGTGCTTATTATCAACTCGCAATTTGACATTTGCAAGATTACTTGCACAAATAATTCATTTGCTAGCACATTTTTCTGATTACGTAATCAAGACAATTCGTTTTGACAATGTTGGTGAAATTACGTCTCAAGGTTTTAATGAATATTGCATGTCAATTAGAATAAATGTTGAACAATCTGTTAGTCATGTTCATACACAAAACGGTCTAGCAAAATCATTTATCAAATGCCTTAAACTGATTACAAGGCTATTATTTATGAAATCCAAACTCCCAATTTCTACTTGGGGACATGTCATTTTGCATGCAGCAGCACTTGTACGCATCAGGCTAACGGGTTATTATAAATTCTTTCCTATACAATTAGTTTATGATCAGGAACCAAATATTTTCCATTTAAGAATTTTTGGATGTGTAGTATATGTTTCAATTGCTCCATCACAACACACAAAGATGGGTCCTTAAAGGAGGTTAGGAAATGTTAGATATGAATCTCTATCTATAATTAAATATTTAGAACCTTCAACAGGAGATTTATTCACTGTAAGATTTGCTGATTGTCATTTTGATGAAACAAATTTTCCAACATTAGGGGGAGAAAATAATTAGCTGGAAAGGAAAATATCTTGGAATACATTATCATTATCTGGTCTTGATCCTCGCACAAATCAATGTGAACAAGAAGTTCAAAAGATAATTCATTTGTAAAATATAGCAAATCAGTTGCCAGATGCCTTGACTAACGTAAAAAGAGTAACTAAATCTCATATACTAGCTGCAAATGCTCTAATTAGAATTGATGTAGGACAATCTACTATTGTTAATGAGTCTAAGACACGCTAGAAGTGTGGAAGACCAATCGGTTCCAAAAATAAAAATCCTCTAAAAAGAAAAAGAGCAAATATTCAAGATGGTCAAAAAGAGAAAATAAAAACTCCAGAAGAAACCCCTGACATAATTTCCGAAGAAATTCAGGTACCTGAAATTAGTGAAAATAAAGAGATCTCAATAAATTATGTTTTGTCGAAAAAAAGATGGAACCGAAATAAAATAAACGTTGACAATATTTTTGCATACAATGTAGCGCTCAATATTATGAAAGAAAATAAGGATTTTGAACCTACATCTGTTGAAGAATGTAGATATAGAAATGATTGGCCAATGTTGAAAGACGCAATCAAAGTGAAATTAAATTCACTTGCAAAACGTGAAGTTTTTAGACCTGTAGTCCGTACACCAAATAGCGTAAAAGCAGTAGAATATAAATGGGTATTTGTACGAAAACGAAATGAGAAAGATGAGATTGTGAGATATAAAGCATGGCTTGTTGCACAACGTTTTACCTAAAAACCTGGTATTGATTATGAAGAGACATATTCTTTTGTGGTGAATACAATTACATTTTGATATTTAATTAGTTTGGCAATACATGAAAATCTTGAAATGCGTTTGATGGATGTAGTTACAGCCTATTTTTATGGCTCACTTGATAATGGTACTCTATATGAAGATCCCTAAAGGATTTAAGTTGCCTAAAGCATAAAATTTGAATTCTCGAGAGATTTATTCGATCAAATTAAATAACTCTTTATATGGATTAAAACAATCCGGACGCATGTGGCATAATCGCCTTAATGAATATTTGTTGAAAGAAGGCTATGAAAATGATCCTATATGCCTGTGTTATTATAAAAAGATTCAAATTTGAATTTGTGATAATTGCTATTTATGTTGATGATCTAAACATTATTAGAACTCCTGAAGAGTTATCAAAAGCTGTGGATTACTTAAAGAAAGAATTTGAAATGAAAGACCTTGGAAAAACAAAGTTTTGTTTGGGACTTTAGATTGAATACTTGACAAATGAAATTTTTGTTCATCAATCTAATTATATAGCAAAGGTGTTAAAACGATTTTATATGGACAAAGCACATCCATTGAGTTCACCAATTGTTGTAAGATCATTAGATGTGAAAAAAGATCCTTTTCGACCTTGTGAGGATAATGAAGAACTTTTTGGTCCTGAAGTATCATATCTTTGTGCAATTGAAGCATTAATGTATCTTACTAACAATACACAACCTGATATATCATTTGCTATGAATTTATTAACAAGATATAGTTCTTTTTCAACTCGAAGATGTTAGAATGGAATTAAACATATACTTCGATATCTCCGAGGAACAATGGATATGGGCTTATACTATGCAAATGCATCAAAATTAGATTTAATCGATTATGCAGATGCAGGATATTTATCAGATCCACACAAAGCTCGATCCCAGACAGGTTATGTATTCACATATGGAGGTATGGTTATTTCATGGCGTTTTGTAAAACAAACTATAGTTGCTATTTCTTCTAACCATGCAAAAATTTTAGCAATTCATGAGGTAAGTCGTGAATGTGTCTGGTTAAGATCTGTAACTTAACATATTCGAGAAACGTGTGGTTTATCAACCAAGAAAGAAATTTCAACAATATTATATGAGGATAATGCTGCTTGCATAGCACAGTTAAAGGAAGGATACATCAAATGCGATCGAACAAAACATATTTTATCAAAATTCTTTTTCATTCATGATCCCAAGAAAAGGGTGATATTAGTGTTCAACAAATTCATTTAAGTGACAATCTAGTAAATTTGTTTACTAAAGCCCTTCCTACTGCAACATTCGAAGAGTTGGTATAAAAGATCGAGATTTGCCATTTTAAAGATCTTAAATAATGTAATTGTCAAGGGGAGTAAAATATGCATTGTACTCTTTTTCCTTCATCAAGTTTTTTTTCACTAAGTTTTTCTTGATAAGGTTTTTAATGAGGTAGTATTTCATAAGCGTATTCTTGAAAAGAATTATGTACACTTTTTCCTTCACTTAGATTTTTTTTCCATGAGGTTTTTTCTTAGTAAGGTTTTAAGGAGGCATATTCTTGATATTCAAGGGAGAGTGTTATGAATATTTTGTGAATATCCACTCATGTTATCTATTTAGATTTGATGTAAATCGGATTAGATTAAGATATAATTCATCTAATCTCTAAGTGGTATCTTTATCTTCTAAAGGGATTTTTTACCTATAAAGAGGCTTCCTTAGTTCATTTGTATACACATTTCAATAAGATTTCTTCTCTTCCTCAAAATACTTTCTTTCTTCTTTTTAAATATTTTTCAAATTATTTTTATTTGTCCTTATAAAGTTATTTTTTTTATAACAATCAAAACCTTTTCTTATAATAGTAAGAAAACAAAATCCGGAAGTGGTAGCTGTAATTTCCAAAATCCTGAGCCCATCACTTGTAAAAATAGTAAAATTGGGTGCAATGACAATCTTAAACAATAAATAAACAAATAAAAGAGGAAGGAAAAACGTTTAATAAGTGGACATCGACTTCGTTCCTTGGCCGTCATGTACAAACATTTCACTGGCCAATGAAATCAGGCCTTCACCCGTGACAGCATGAAGCCGAAGATGAATTAAGTAAATTTGACCCAATAGCAGATCTGGAGTCATTTTTGCATGTTACCCGCGGGGAATCCACACATCAGTCGCAAGTCGCAAATGAAAATTTGAGTGCTCCCGTTTTTCCTTTCCCAGTTCCCGTTTCGTTTTGTGTTTTTTACGAAGACAAAAGAACCAGCCAGCATTTTCATCTTCACTGGGAAATAGAAAAGAAAAGGAAAACGGAGACTTCGTTGCTCTGTCGCTCAGATCCAAATCTCTTTCTTAGATCTCCCAATTCCAACATTTAAATCTTGAATTGCAGATTCTTAGATTTGGGAAAAAATCGATTTAATTCCGTTGGCGTGAATTTGTTGATTGATTTGGTCTCAGCATTTGCTTTAGTTTGAATTTGATTGGATCTGATTTGAGCTCTCTACAAAGCTTCAACCCTGGACCCAATCATGAATCCTTTCTCGTCCGGTACCCGTCTACGGTGAGCTCCAATTTCTACTGTTACCATTTCTTCTTTTAATTTCTCCCTTTTCATTTTAATTTGAAAATCAGATCAAGAACATGTTATTTTTTAAATTGAATTGATTGGTCTTATGATTAAAAGAGCTGGGGTTTGGTTCAATTGGGGTTGTTTTGATTGCCGTGGTGGAAATTATGTGAGTTCGGTTATAATTTGTACAGCTGAAGAGGTGATTGCATCTGAATTTAGAGCTAAGTGGAGTTCGTTAACTTGTTTTGGTTTCATAGTTTGGTTCTTCGAGTTGGCTTTGCCTTTTCTTCTTGATTTGCTTTGAGTTGTTGTAACTCTTGATGAAATAGAAACGTCTGAAGTTAAGACGAACCCATTCAGTGATTGGTTTAAGAGTGGCTTGATCTATTGTTTTTCATGAATATTGATAATATGAAATGATGCGCCAAATAGCATTGGTGCCAGAAGGTACCGTTTTCTAGAGGGAAACCAATGTATTGGCTGGTTTAGTACTAACAGCCTTACTTTCTCGACTTCTTGCATTCTATAAATGAAAATTATGCAGTTTATTCTTGGAATTTTGATACTACGTTATGTTGAACTTTTAAACATGAGTAACTAGTGGCAATAGTTTGAGAGAGTGGTAATTTAAATATAAGATAGAGTCCCAGGTAGTCATGTATGTAAGTATCCAGTCCAATATGGTTACCTGAAGTACAATCTGAATAACTTGGTTACATGGTTGTACTTATTATTCTGTTGGTTGTATGTCAAAACTGATTTTGTACAAGTTATAACACTTTTAGGCACAGCTTGTAAAATTAGATTACTTTTCTTTTCATTTTTCCTCAGGGAGACTGCTAGGTGATTGTAGAAGGTGCCTGTGTCTGTTGCAATGGAACCTAATAGTTGTATTTGTCTCTATTTAGGTTTAACATGATTAAAAAACTTTGAGATAGCAAAAGAATCTGGTTGGCAGATCTGGTTGTGAAGGATAATCTCCATACCCTGTCATGGAAATTCTGAAGTCAGTTCTTTGCATTAGATTACTGGATTCACCCATTTTTCATGGGTGTGAAGATTTTGACCTCCTTGTCTTTTTACATTAGATAACTTTATTCTTGAGTAGCTTTCCATATGGACTATCAGTAGTGAGTGTTGCTTTTCAGGAACTAACTAGTAAGTGGGAATATATGTTCCCATCTCTCATAAGCTTCTGTGAATATTTCATGTTCAGGAAATTGTTGACAAGAACTGTTTGTTTATATTTGGAAAAAGGGATCTCTAAACTATACAATTTTTTTAGAGAAAAAAAAATGGGAAAAGGAATCATTAATGCTCACATGCTAGTATGAAAAGTTTCTTTTCAGTCAGGACATATGGTTGGTTACTCAGAATGTTTTTTTCTTTCCCTTAATGATTTTCTATCAATGGTATGATTTCATTTTTGCTTAAAACTGCCTGAATGTGATTAATGAGTAAGACATCTTTTATGCATTTTCTGTCCTAAGTAATGTTGATGAATCTAAATGATTGAATTGACTGTATGCATACTAATTAAAAATGGTCAAACTTACTGCTCAATGCAGGGACATGATACGGGCTATACGAGCATGCAAAACTGCAGCAGAAGAACGTGCTGTTGTAAGGAAAGAGTGTGCTGCTATTCGTGCTGCAATTAATGAAAATGATCAAGATTATAGGCACCGTAACCTGGCAAAGCTCATGTTTATTCAGATGCTTGGATATCCCACTCATTTTGGCCAAATGGAGTGCCTGAAGTTGATTGCATCTTCTGGATTTCCAGAGAAGAGGATTGGGTATCTTGGCCTTATGTTGCTTCTTGATGAAAGACAAGAAGTTCTGATGTTGGTCACAAACTCATTAAAGCAGTATCCTATGTGTAGACTTTCTCAAGCTTAATTTGTTCCCATTTCCTTTCACTTTTATCACTTCTTTTCTGGAGGAATAGCTTTGTCCCTGATTTTGTGGTATTACTAGGGTAAAAATAAGAAAATGGAGATATTTACTTTACTTTGCTGGAACCTTAACTTTTACAAAGAGATCTCAATCATTCAAACCAGTATATTGTAGGACTTGCTCTTTGTGCTCTTGGAAATATTTGTTCAGCAGAAATGGCCCGTGATCTTGCACCGGAAGTGGAAAGATTGCTGCAGTTTCGAGATCCAAATATCCGGAAGAAAGTAAGTGTGTCCTACCCTTTTTTCAAGGTCTTGTAAGCCACAGATTCTGATTTTGGTGAGATGTAAAGTAAAGGAGGAAAAGGAGGCTGCTGGACTCCAGAATTTGTGAATTTCTTATGCTTAAACATTACTGAGTATCCCTCTTAAAAAATTTCAACTTCTCCAACCTCCTTTCTTTTACAGGAGTTGGAGAGTTTTGAGTTGTTTTGATGAGCACTCCAAGGATTGCGGTTTGTGTTCTTTATTTCTTTCTGATAATGCCTTTGTAATGTTGTCAATACAAAGGTTAAAAACATCCATGTACTTTCATGATTAAGTACCAGATGCCATAAGACTGAGACCTCAACTATGTGATGTAATTATGTAACTACCTCATGGAGAGTGATATTTGTTGAATGATATTCTGCAATCTTCATATGGCAGCTACTTTTATCAAATCTGGATATTTCTTTGTCCTTTTATCATAAACAGAAGAATTTGCAGTATATAGTCATTCAATTTACAGTACCCCTTGAGTCTGATGCTATAGTGACTCCAAGAAAGTCAAACTTTAATTTTTCCTGTTTGATGGTTTGAGGGAAAGACATCTATTTACCCTTTGCCAGCTATTCTGTGAAGTCATTTTTCTGATGTACTAGATTGGTTCATCTACAATTACTCATTTGTATATGGAAGTATTGATTTCACTAAACAGGGTTCCTGCATTTTTTCTTCTTTTTTCCCCCTAGCAAGTGGTGTTTGGTTATGAATTCTCATCATGCACATGATATGGTAAAGTGTAGGTTATCTTTCATTTTCGCCTGCGCACTGACTGCAATTCCTGATTTTTTTTCCTCCCCCCTAGCACGTTGTGTTTGGTTATGAATTCACATTATGCACGTTATTTGATAGTTTGTAGGTTATTTTTCATTTTCTTCAGTGCTCGGAAATCTCTAACTCCTGTGGACTCTATTTGTTGTTTGTAGGCAGCATTGTGCTCCATACGGATCATAAAGAAAGTTCCAGACCTGGCAGAAAACTTTATAAATCCTGCTGCTTCCCTACTTAAAGAAAAGCATCATGGAGTCCTAATAACAGGAGTTCAACTTTGTACAGATCTATGTAAAGTCAGTTCAGAAGCCCTTGAATATTTTAGAAAGGTAAATTGGTTATGGCTTTTTTAGTACATAGCTATAGTATCAAAAATACAAAACTCTATTGAGTGCATGAAATTTTTGCTATGCTTGTTTGCCCATGCGCAAAAAGGCTATCAGGAACAAAATTTTTGTCAATATTTAGTTCCTGCTCTGGTTTTCTTGGAGAATCCATGCGAGCAGTCAACTTTAACAGCAATCCTTTTATACTGTTTCTGGCTGAAGAGTACTGACCATCAAAAGGATTGAGAAAAAGGATCAAGTTTACTGGTGTTTTGTCCTAAACTTGGGCTATCTCTTGGTACTAAGAGCCTGGTTGGCCTAGCTTATTTTTAACTTAAAAGCTATTATTAAGCTCTTATGAAAAATAATAGCTTTTAGAATTAAGCTAAAGCTGTTTAGTAAACTGTTTAACAAATAAATTATATAAGCTCTAATTTCGGTTAAAATTACCGTAAAGTATATTTATGTCATCTTCAATCACCTAGTAAGTCATAATGTAATGTTTCAAGTTTATATATAATTTCAGATGTTAAAATCAAAGAAATCAATGAAGAAACGGAACAATTCTCAAACTTGTATAGTAGCAATAATATTAGATTTTTGTTGATCTAGCAAGCAATCGAACCACGATGCTTCAATTCCCAAAAAAAAGGAAAAAAGAAAAGAGGAAATGATGTATTTAACATTAAAATTCTCTTTGGTGAAAAAGAGAGAAACCTTTAAATAGTATCTGAATGCAGTTTTGAATTTTAGATTTTTTTTTCTTAATCTTTGTAAAAACAAAAAAATTCTAGATTTTGATATTCTGTTGTTGGGTCTTCTGTTTTTTTCTAAATGCAGTTTTGAATTTTAGATTTTTTTTTTCTTAATTTTTGTAAGAACAAAAAAATTTTAGATTTTGATATTTTGTTGTTGGGTCTTCTATTTTTGTTAATAGTTTTTGTAGAGAGAGGTAAAGGAGAGGGAAATCTCAATTTACGTTGAAGAATGGTAATTTGCTGAGGGAAGGAGAGAAGAGGGAGATTAATTGAGAGAGTGGTATTTTCTGAAAAATTAATATGTTTTTAAAAGAAGAGAAGAGAAAGCTCCTCCCTGGAGCTTTTATTTAAGTTCTCTTTTTAAAAATGTTGTTCTTTAAAAAAAAGTTTTTTTTTTTTTTAAGAGCTTCTCAAAAAATCATGTTTGGTCTGGCTTTTGCTTTTAAGAGGTAGATAAGTTGAAAAAAAGCCAGGCCAAACAGTCACAAAGATACATTCTTCAGGCTAATTTTGCAATTTGGTTTCTGTAGGACTTATGAACTTGTTTAGGTTTAGAGTCATGCATTAACAGAGGAAGAACTACCATGTCCCTTGTCAAAAATGGATATGTGGTCAGCTTTCTAATTGTGATAATAACTTCTCTAATCATCATTGCAGAAGTGTACTGATGGTTTGGTCAAAACTCTGAGAGATATTGCGAACAGTCCCTATGCACCTGAGTATGACATTGCTGGCATTACAGATCCCTTTCTTCATATAAGATTGCTGAAACTTCTGCGGATATTGGGTCAGGGAGATGCTGATGCTAGTGACTGTATGAATGACATACTGGCCCAGGTTAGTTGTGTTGTTTTTCCTGTGACCTATCTATTTCTATCATAATATCTTCTTCAAAGTTCTGAAAGAAGTATTTAAGGATGATGAGTATTCTATATATTTATTGTTTATCTCACCAATTAGTAACTACATTAGGGTTTTTGTCTGGATCTCTTTCCTTTGCTGTAAATTTCATGTGCATGCCTATGGCAGTACTACACCAGATTTTCTTACTAAAGGTTCTGAAGAAACTGTTGTGAAAGCAAAAAAAAATAAAAATAATTGCTTTATTGAAGGAATGGGATTTATTGTTTCATAATATGATAGCATTGCATGATGAAAGAATACAAGTTCTGTCCTTGTAGAAAATACATTGGATATTCCAGTCAAATCTTGCTCCTGCTCTTGAGAAAAACCTCAATGATATTGCTCGGAGCATATTCATTGCCAATATGGTATAGTACATGGGGTATATTGGATATTGCTTCAAAAGCTGATTTCTGGCAATAAAAGTAGAAGCTAAAAATGTTGCAGAGAACTCCTTTCATGGTTTCAACAACATTTCATCTCTTAATGAGGTCAAGGTTTTCCTTTGTCTACTGATTTGACAGTGTTAGATCTTGTTTTTGTTTATGGACTTTGCTTCTCTTTTCCCCCTAGGTGGCAACAAAAACCGAGTCAAACAAAAATGCAGGAAATGCTATTCTTTATGAATGTGTTGAAACCATCATGAGCATTGAAGATAATGGTGGCTTACGTGTGCTTGCTATTAATATCCTGGGAAGATTCTTGTCAAATCGTGACAATAATATTAGGTAAATTCTTTCAAATGTTATCTTGATTTTGTACACCCCTTTCTACACTATTTCCTTGTTGCTCTATTATATTATGAAACTGAACCTTGCACCTTTTTTCAGATATGTTGCTTTAAACATGCTTATGAAGGCTATGATGGTGGACGCTCAAGCGGTACAGAGGCACAGGGCAACAATTTTGGAATGTGTAAAGGTATTGCCTGCGGATATTTAATTTCATGTTTGATGATTTGCAAAAAGGTTTCTGATTTAATTCTTGCTCACTCAAGGAGTTCAGCTTTGCTTTCCTGATTCTCTGGTTCTGTTATTTATTGCTACCTTTGATGAATCCCATATGTGAGGGATAAAGACTCTCTTGTTACTTGCTAAAGCAGTGAGGACTAGTTCTCTATATTGATATCACTGGATCTTTTATTTTTGACCTTAAGGGTAAAGACCCTCTAAGCTCTCTCTCTCCTTGTTATTTTTATTTTTTATCTTAGGGAATCCTCAAGTTGTCTTTTATGTGACTGCTATGATATATATATATATATATATATATATATATATTTGGTTGGTTACTCTCCTTGTGTTTTGATTGATATTTGGACAGATACATAGGGATTCAATTTTTAGAGCTGTAGCTATTTCCAGCATTGCACTTTGGGCTTGAATCAGGGTTGGGGTGGAGTAGGAATTGGGGTAGAGATCCTATGTTTAATCCTTGGTACTCTATCCAATAAAAAAAGAGTTTCCAGCATTTTCTTAGTTGCTTTTGATGTGGACTCTGATTTAATGATGAAGTGCCATTAGTGGCAAAAAGTGGGTTTTCTAATGTGCAACTAAAGAAGTTTTTGATTTGACATTTTCTTTTTCCAGGATTCAGATGCTTCAATTCAGAAAAGGGCACTTGAACTTGTATACCTGCTAGTGAATGAAAACAATGTGAAGCCTTTGACGAAAGAGCTAATTGAATATTTGGAAGTAAGCGATCAAGAATTTAAGGGAGATCTTACTGCCAAGATTTGCTCCCTTGTTGAAAAGTAAGTTATAAACTGCTTGTTAGTTACATGAGAAGTGCTACTTTAGCTTCTCATGTATGCTAATATTATTTGTAATTCTGTCTTATATATGCTTTGTCTGGGCTCAGTACTTTCATTTATTGTGTGTGTGTGCTTGGATATGTAAATGCATACATAGATGTATGTAGCTGTATATGCCGTGTATTCTTCTTCTTCCAACCCCATTTTTTCGGACAGTTTAAAAGGGTTGGTTCATATTCCTGGAGAAGGCAGTTATTTCACATAATTGATATATATGGTCTATTTTAATAGATTGCTTGCTTTATTAATTTATAGAAGTTCCTTTTACTTTTCTCTTTATGTTGGATGATATTTTTATTGTGGTTAATTGGACAACCTTTTTCTGTTGAATGGTGACAGTTTGCGAAAGATTTGTTCGGGAAGTTCTTTGCAGCATTGTTTTGTCCATTAAAAATCATTTTTGTTGCCTCAGGTTTTCCCCAGAGAAGATTTGGTACATTGATCAGATGCTCAAAGTTCTTTCTGAGGTATTGTTGTCATTCATAGCATCATTGTAGCTGTAAAGATGCTTTATTTGTTGTATTCCACTGTATTCGTCCCTGTCCATGTTCCTATTTTGTGACTATATTCTCTCTTGTTTGAGTTGCATCCATTGCCGTCTTTGTTCCTTTGAGTAGGTCTTGCAATACTTTACATTTTCTTAACTATTGTTTGTTACATTATCATTTCATTGATGCTTATCGTTTTAATTGTTGATTCATGATTATCCAATGTTTTGCATGTGAGTCCATTAATTAAAGGTGTAAATTATGTCTTCATCTTTGCTCATTTGATTACAAACCTTCTTTGTTGAACATTATGACCTTGTTGTGTTTTAATCCTTGCAAACAAAAGAGAAATACATGCTTGCACCGTTTAAGAGATAGTTTATAAAATAATATGCAATATTAACGCTTCTTTTTGGTGTAATGTTGGTCAAGTGATGCCAAGTTCGCTACCAATCTGCATAAGTCCATCCGCTTGATTTTTCAAGTTAAATCTAGTGGTTGGACCTGTCACAGCTATTGCTTTTGCTGCTTGTTGCCTTTGAGTGAATGAACTATAAAAGGCTCAAATGGAATATTCCATCAGATAGGAGTAAATATCATAATGAAAACCACATAAGGCTACAAGTTACTCACTTTTAACAACTTGACTTTAAGCTTTTGACTTTTGAGAATTGGTGGTTTAGGCCTGAAACATTGCTGGGCCAAAGCAAATGGTATTTAGATCATGTTGTAGTCTGGTTGGCTGCTGGTATGGTCTTGGTCCTTTTGGTTTTATTTATAATCGTAAAGTATGACCCCAATGAAAATATGAAGGATTTCAGTGGGGAGGGTTGTGATGCTCTTTCTATGTCAATTAGGATTTAGGAATGCGATTGACGAAATTATTGAAATCCATATGAGGCTTCAAGCCAGCACTACTAATACCTTGAGCTTAATCAGGACCAGTGGTTTGTATCTGGAAAAGTTGCTGGGTTAGTGGTTTTGGGACCTAGGGCATAACAGAAAAGCAAACACTTTTGGAACCCTGTGAAAGTTAGTAGTTTAGTCGCTGATTAACACATGTAGACCATATGAAGGTTTTTTTATTAAAAACTATATTATAGATGAAGATGGATGCTTAAAGAAGGCAAAAATAAATTGGGCAACAATTCGGAAGAATAGGCCTTATAATTTGCTGGGAAGTGTGGGAAATGAGATTTGAGCCAGTGTCCATCTTACCCAGTACTATATTTGCATTTTGCTATGTTTATGTTTTCACATTTTATTGATGAAACTAAGGTGTCAATAAAATAATTGGGCCATTGGCCACAAACATTCGAGTAACTGATTGAACACTTGTTCTTTTACCTTGCCTAGTGTGAGAATCTCTGCTATCTGCTGGATGTGTATTCTTGTTTCTACTAGACAAAATTTTAGTTAGGAGAGAAAAAGGGAGTGAGGATGAACCTTTGCCATTTTTTGGGAACTGCCATTTTTGTTAATTATCTTTGTAGCTCTTTTAACATTTCTATTAAATATTTTTTTTCCAAGAGTACTGATATTTATCCTTTGCTTGGTAGGCTGGAAATTTTGTAAAAGATGAAGTCTGGCATGCCCTTATTGTTGTCATAAGTAATGCTACTGACCTCCATGGATATACAGTCAGGGCATTGTACAGAGCAGTGCAAACATCAACAGAACAGGTATTTTTTGTTATTTTGGATGTTATATCGGTCTGAATTTGATACTCTTGTCTGCTTAATTATTCAAATGCATATTCATATTTCCATTAGGAAACCCTTGTTCGAGTGGCAGTTTGGTGTATTGGTGAATATGGTGACATGTTGGTGAATGATGTTGGGATGCTTGATATTGAAGACCCAATAACTGTAAGTGCATCCTTATCCATGGATTAGTTTGCATGCACTTACTGTCTACATGTGCTGCTTCTATACTGTTAGAAAAAGGGAAATGCCAGCCAGGTAATAGGCTGTGTTATATGAACTTGAGTATGTATAGGGAAGCTTCTAATAGAAGAAGGTTGATTAGGACCTTTTCTGCAAAGATTTTCATAAATTTATGACTTCAAGACTTATGCCATGTTTGCTGTTAAATTGAATTTAAAAGTAATTGATCAGTTGCAAAGGGAATCAGTAATCAGTTGTTTGTGTAACTGGTAGTAAAGAACATGGAAGCTAGGCCTATTCCTTTTGCGTCATCAAATAGTAAATTTTCTAGATTTTTCTTTTGGAGTTTTCACTTTCATTTAGAGTGGTTATAATGGAAATATTTCCTGGTTCAAGTTTGTTTTATAACAATTGAATTCATTTTGGCTGCTGGGGGATAAATCTATTCTAAAGATAAAATTAATCAAAATATTCTAATGCCAAGTATGGCTTGATTTTGGACTTATGGACAATGTGAGTTGCAGATCTAGAATAGGGAAGGAACCATTCAATTCCCTTCTTTACAAGGAATTTCAAAGTACCTTCTGTTTTTATTCAAAATTTCTTGTTTAAGTATTTTTTCTGTTTTTGCTGGTTGAAATATTACGAGTTTGCTTGCAATCAGATGAAATAACGGGTGTCATACAATGGAGTGCTTTGTCACTCTGGGTCTTTTCTGTGGACTCACATAAATCCAGGATTATTGTTAAACTAATAGGATTCTTAACTTGCTGTTTTCGGAGCTGAAAGTCCTCCATGTCAGGGTCCTGTTCGTTTGTCCAGTGGCTGCATTAACTAAATTGAACATTTAGACCTATCACTCTGCATGTTCCAATAGTGTTTGACTTCAGCCATTTTTTATTTCCTAAGCAGGTAACAGAGTCTGATGCTGTGGATGCCACAGAGGTTGCTATTAAGCGTCATAGTTCTGATCTCACTACTAAAGCGATGGCTTTGATTGCTCTGTTGAAGCTCTCTTCCCGTTTTCCTTCGTGTTCAGAGTATGTTAATGTTTTGCAAGCATGCATTTTTTTGTTTATCACACACATTCCCCGTGATTATAAGTTTCTACTGGCCTCTTAGCTTGGTGTAGGGGTTCCATGATCTTCGCAATTGGTTTTGCCATCCTAATTATTGTGAAATTTATGCATTAACTAGGTGAAGAATTTCTTCTTATATGTTTATATGGCATGAAAATGATAAATTTTCATTGATTGCTATCTGCAGGAGGATCAGGGATATAATTGTCCAAAATAAAGGAAACCTTGTGCTTGAGTTGCAGCAACGATCTATTGAATTTAATTGTATTCTTCAGAAGCATCAGAACATTAGGTATATGATTTAGAAAAGTTGTTTTGTGTTTTACCTCATTACCTTTTAGATGGTTTCCAGCATTGTGGTATGGTTAAGAATTACATAGCTGATGGATAAATTTGTATAGATCTGCACTGGTTGAAAGGATGCCAGTTTTGGACGAGGCAACTTTCAGTGGAAGGAGGGCTGGCTCGTTGCCAGCAGCTGTTTCAACTTCCACTGGGGCACCACGTAATCTTCCAAATGGAATTGCTAAACCAGCTGCAGCTCCTATTGCAGACTTACTTGACCTAAGTTCAGATGATGTCCCTGCACCTAGTTCTTCTGGTGGTGATTTTCTTCAGGATCTTCTTGGTGTTGATTTATCACCAGCTTCAGCACCATCAGGTTAGTTGAATGCGTAGTTGTGCATCTTAAGAAACATTTGAGTAAATTTTTCTTTTCAAGCATGCTTCTGTTTTGAACTACCTTATTGTACAAGCTCTCAGGATTTTGCAGCGTAAATATTGGAAGTTAGCATTTCAGAGTAATGAGTCTGTTCAAGACCCACATATTTGGTGTTTCATCCATTTTATTTATCTCTGACTTGATGAGAATTAATCATCTATATCTGATAATCATAGGGGAGACTAGTTCAGGCAAACACCTGTTGATTGAAATCAGTGTTCTCTAAACTTTGTGACTCAACCAACGTTTGGACTGTTCTATAGAAGAACATAATAAAATTACTTTTTAAATTTGATTTCCTATAATTATAATTTGGAATTCCAAATTGGTTTTGAATGTATAATGGATATGATGATGGTTGCATTGAACAATTACTTAAATTGACATTTTTTGTGTGTAACTACGCCAAAAGAAAAGAAGTTTTTTCGTAGTCATTGTTTTTATGGCCATCCTTCCAAAAGAGAACTTTGTATTGCATGGGATAAAAATCTTAGATGTTTCGTTCACTGTTAAAAGTGAATAATTTTCAGTGACTTATCTCTTCTTTCCTGTTGATTAAAAGAGCTTGATTTTATTCTGACTCTTTAGGCACAAGTCAGCCTCCAAAAGCTGGTACAGATGTTCTGCTGGATCTTTTGTCACTTGGAACATTGCCTCCTGCACAAAGCAGCTCATCTACATCTGACATATTATCCTCCAGCCAAGACAATAAAGCACCACTTGCTAACTTAAATGGCCTCTCATCGCTTCCCTCACTTTCTCCGAATGCCACTTCTCCTGCAAGTGCTGCTTCAATGATGGATTTATTGGATGGGTTTGGCCCCAGTCCTCAAAACCATGGTAAAATTTTTGGAACCCTGATTGGCAGATGTTGTACATATGTAGTTGACAAAGTAGTTATAGTTTTCTTTTCTTTGGGCAGAGGAAAATGGTCCAGCTTATCCATCTCTAGTTGCATATGAGAGCAGCTCCTTAAGGATGACGTTCAATTTCTCAAAGCAACCTGGAAACCCACAAACAACGTTGATCCAGGCTACTTTTACAAATCTATCACCAAATGTTTATAATGATTTTCTTTTCCAGGCTGCAGTTCCAAAGGTAACTCAAGATGGTTGTTTACAGAGCTTGCTGTTACTTGCTGTGCTTATAGTATAGAAATTTATGATTGGGTTTCACTGCCATCTGTTACGAGGTAGATTTTGCATCATCTCTTTTTGCCTATGTTGCTTTATTTATCATTGATTTATGTGAAAATCAAAGAACTTTGTAACTTAGAGCCTGTCCTCACTGATTATTATCTTTTTGCCTGAAGAATGCTTATTTTATTTAGCCTTGTATGTAGTATTGCTAAATCTAGGCTTCATTACTTTGAAAAAAATTATAATACTGTATGTTCCTTAAAATGTTATTGAAGTTTGTAAATTTTATTTTGTAGTTTTTGTTAGGCTTTGCATATTCTATTCTTTGTGATGCTGATATTCTTTGCTGCTTCTAAAATCTGCAGTTTCTTCAGTTGCACTTGGATCCAGCCAGCAGCAATACTTTGCCTGCAAGTGGTAATGGTTCCATCACACAAAATTTGAAAGTCACTAACAGCCAACATGGGAAGGTATGTTTATTGAGTTTTATTAATCTTAATGTTACTAATTCTGAATCTCAGGACCTAGCATAAGAAAGCTTTATATACCACTTCGGCTAAGTCCAAGTTGTGAGGATGGGATGGGATATGGATAGAGATCCTTGCTTTGAGTCATAGTATTCCCTTTTGTACCAAAAAAAAAAAACTAAGAAAGCTTCAGTATATTGTCTCATATATTAAGTTGTTTTACCATCAGTTAAAGTTGCTTTGTGGTAATGATGATGATGCTCTCTGTCCTCTAGGCACCCATCCTCCACTCGGCTTTTTGTGATGCTATTTTGTTGTTTTTATCATTCAAAAGCAAATTTTAACTTCTGATCATAGGGGTTTAAGCACTTGGTAGACTCTAGTGTCAGTTTGACTAAGCTGTTTTTGCACAATTTTTATCAATGCTTTGGGCTTCTTTATTTTATTTCTTTCATTAGTGTTTAACTGAAGTATCTGTCTTTAGATGTATTGCATGTAGTTCCACTATTGCCAAGATTTGAAATGTATGTGCAATTTTTCTTTTTCTCTTTTATGGAGGAGACAAGAGTGGCTTAGGGTCTGGGGTGATCCTAATTTATTTCCCTAAATTTTAGGATATCCTTTTGTGCACTAGAAAAGAAAGTCAAGTACCTAGGAACCTTGAGCCGGGAAAATTTTTTTCCCTCAAGTATCCAACCACCTAGCTTTCCAATTATTTGGTTTTTTTTTTGTTGCCCCTTTGGGTAGCAGAACAGCACCGTTTAGTGCTGGGACTTGTCTTTAAAATGCAAACGAAATGATGTAAAAGGAAAGAATTAAAATATCTTATATTGACAGTTAATCTCTCTGCTACTTATGTTTGGAAAGAGATTCTTAATGTGGTATGCCAATATGTAATAAATAATTTGATTGCTGCTACCCCTCTTTCATTGTGTCTGGCTTAGCTCCTAAATGTATTTTACTTTCAGAAATCCTTGGTAATGCGCATAAGGATAGCTTACAAGATGAAGAACAAAGAAGTTTTGGAAGAAGGACAAATCAGCAATTTCCCTCGTGATTTGTGACTTGTGAGGTTGATTGATCGTTGAATTACAGAGATGTTGAAGATATTCATGTACCACCATTTCTTTCTTTCTTTCCTCTTTTATCTGAGAAACTTGGTTGTTATCATTTGTAGTGATAGTGCAATGTTTGGTTTCAATTCTTGTATCCGGGGGCATATAGCGTGTACCAAGTGGCATGAGATTTTGCTGGGGTCTGTGTTGTGTTAAATGGGGTCACACGACTCTTCACAAATTTTCTCCTCTTAGGTGATTTATGTATATTATTATAAACACCTTTGTTGGCTGTACGACGGGAATGTGGGCCTTTGGTACAAAGAGAAAATTTGTTATTTTTGGAATACAAGGTGTGCTGTTGTTGCAATTTAAGCACGGATTAATGAACTTGGGAATCTAATTTGTAGCAAGCAATTCTGATTCTTTCATGCTTGATTGTATTTGTGTCATAGTCACATATTCTATTAGCAAAGGATGGATTTGTGAGACCCTAACTTAGGAAGGGATGATAATGGTTAGACCAAAGCTGAAATGTTAATAGTTGAACAATTGATTTGTTATAGAAATTGCACATGGGTGTTGGGTGGTCTTACTCTTTTATCTCCCAAGAGCGGGCGCAGGAGGCGCATGTGCTTTGGTATCAGCGAGGAGGGAGGGACACTAACTTAGACTTGAAGTCTATTCGGCAAAATAGATGCACAAGGAAAAAGAAAGGAAACTAGCATAAAAGAAACCTTGGATTCTTCCACCAAAGCTCGATAGCCCATGCACGTTTGTTGTCAATCATACAACATCTGTAGCCGATAATGAATTCATACAAGTTTTGACTTGCGTGCCTCTCTCTCTCATGGAGCAGTTATTATTATTATCTCTTGGCTCACCAAATCCCTCACGCCTGTCATGCTCATGCATCACTTTGTCTTTTGCCTCACTTGCAGTCATCTTATGTCACTCCTCTGCACTGCGCTTCATGTTTTTTGGGATACTCGGCCAGTCTGACATGCCTTTCCTATGTATATTCACATGTGGCCACCAAACCATCAGCCTTAGATAAGAGATATATTTATTTATGCAATTAACTTTTATCTCTAAACAAATCTTTTCTCTTTCTTTAAGCTTAATGAAAAACTGTTGTTGGTTAAGTTAATATCGTTCTTTTCCGACTGCATGAATATTCCCTTAATTCTCCAAGTATCAGAACAAAACACTGTGTGCAAAGCTGCAACCTTTGCTAGCAGCACACCGTACTTGATATTACCATGTCATGACATTTCACTCTTAATGAAACTTAATTATGTGGTAAGCATGAGATGAGGACTATAATTAGATTATAGAATACTCTTATGACCCCACAATCCACTGACCTGTGTATCACTCTGATGTCAACTTTCCAAATAACGCCTACACACACAAGAGTCCCTCAAGGCACTTTTTAGGGATCCCACCACCCTCATCATACAAAAGCAAAAAAGGGTCCCTATTACCAGATCAAGGGAAGGGAATTTATCTTGACAAAAAGAGGGAAAAAAAAACCCCAAAAATAAAAAAGCCTCCACAGATGCTCAGAGAAAGCACCACGTGATTTGACTTCACAGTGATTCCTATCATCCTTGTCCTGTTTTATTCTTGTTTTGGTGTATATTATTGGCAGATGGTAAAATCCAGGAATTACTTTTATCAATATTTGCAGTCTATAGGATAAAAGCAAAGGCTTTAAGATAGGCACTAGATGGAATTTTACTGAAAACACCAAGGACATTGCCATTTGCCATAAAGTAACAACATTTTTATTTGTACACTCATAAAGTACGCACATTAAAGAAAGCACATTTCAGAATAGCGGTAGTAAAGAATAATTTTCTTTGAAGGAAAAGCGAAAGTAAAAGCTAAAAGGAAAAGCTTTAATTAATATATATAGATCCATTGAATATGTGATGAAGTACAAAGGAACAGTAAATATCTTCAACTAACCTGAGTTCTACTATCAGTCCATGGCAAGCCAACAGTAACAGAGGAAGAGCCTATAGGATCTGAAGAACTTGGGAATTTACCCTTCTTAGACGACCATTGCCAGATCTTGGAAACAGAAAAGCTTTCACCTTTACTTCTCATGTTGATTTTCTTTCCCTCTGCATCCCCATCATTTGATGAATTCCCATTTTGTCCACTTCTCCCTTTCACAAGCTTCATTCTAGCACTACCATTGCATCCTCTGCTGGGGCATAGAGCCACTTGCAAGTCTGAATCAGCAACCACATATTGGTATGACCCCATCGAGTAACATCTCCTTGCACCCAAATTACTGCGACTGGTCTCTCCTTCTCCTCTTAATACACCCTCTCCTTCTCTTTCTCCTTCTCCTCTTCCATCATTTGAACTTCTAAATTTGCCTAGTCTTACAGAAAACACCCTCTTTCCAATGTCATTCTCTGCTGGTTTTGGACCAAGGGACACCCCATATCCGCCATTGCTTGATAAAATATTTTCTTCCCTCGGATATTCAAAGTCAAAATCTGGGTTTTCAATTGGAAGCCCGGGTGTGAAAAGGGTCCCTCTACAAAGAGGGCAAGTAGAATTAGACATCAACCATGTGTCTATACAATCTATGTGAAAAGCATGACTACACATAGGAAGTAATCTCAACTTGTCTTGTTCCAAGAATTCACAAAGACAAACCGCACAATCAAATGGCTCTTTCAACCCCATTATTTCCTTATAAAGAAACACTGGTAGGGCATCTATAAAAGCTTGATCTAGACCTGAATCATGAAGATGGAAGAGTTGTTGTAACTGTCTTTGGAAAGCATCAGACCCTGACATTTCAGGGTATCTGTTGGATTCAGATACTGATGAGGGAGACCTTTGCTTCATGAGAAATCTAACAAGCAAGTGAAGAAGGCCAGATATGAAAAATATAACAGCAAGAACAACTATGATGAACAAAACAGCTGGGCTTATTTTACTAGCTGAAGATGACGATGATGAAGGGTTTAGTTGCTTTTGGTAATCACTATTGTAAGGCAATGAAGGGGAGGAGGAAGGAGAGGAATAAGAAGAGAGTAGAGAGTGATGATGGTAACTCAAAGGACCATTTTTTATCCTGATTTGGGAGTGTATCCAAGACATTTTAGGAAATGAACATGCTAGAACACCCGTTCCTTCAACCTTCTTGGATCAAACTAACTCCAGTCACCTATATGGAATCTCAGGAAACCATGTTCTCTTGCTTCCTTTGAGATTAAACCCAGCTCATAAGTTAAAAAGAACAAGCAATGGGCACATTATTTCTTGCACCCTCAACAAACCCAGCTCAGTTCAGCCAATAATGTGTGACAAAAATCTAACCTTGACTAAGATTTACAAGTAAGAGGATTGCTTAGGTAGAAGACTAGGTAATAATAATAAAAAAAATACTAACTTGTGATGGGTGAAACAAGAACACAAGGCAAAGACTCTTCTAGCACTTTTAACTGAGTCAAGGTTTTAGATTACCTACCTCAGAAACTGGAAAACCCTGCCTTTAGTGGAATCCCATTTTTAATAAGTCGATTCAGTATGCGATGAAAATGAACCCCATTTAGTCCATTGAGGGATTTAGTTCTTCTATATTAGGAAGGGAAAGCTTTGCTTGTTTGATAGAGGGACGGAGGGAGCGTGAGGCAGGTGGCAGCTGCCAAAGAGTACAGGCTCGGGGACCAAAGAGAACATCAGGGGCAGTTTAGTTATTTAGCATGATTTGGGGGTTTTGCAGTTGTGCATAGGAGTAGGTTATTTATGTCGGGGGCATCATCCCTTTACCAAAAAAAAAGTAGAGGCACAGCTTGGATTGCCATTTTGTCTTGTGAATTGTGGTTTTGGGGCTCAATTTTTGGTACTACGTGCTGTAAGACAGAAAAGGACCCTACAACTTTTGGCAGTTAATTTATCTGTGGGGCCTGCTAGCTCTAGAGGACCCAGCAGACACAGAAGATGAGATTGGGCCTGGGTACAAAGCACACCATTTATAATAACAAGAGAGGAGAGGGGAGGAGTGTAAAAGTAAAACCCCCTTTTCAACATCAAAAGCCAGCCAGTGTGAGCCTGGGGAAATTAGTTAACACCCTGTTTCTTTTCTTTTATCATCTAATCTAGTGACCAAAGGCTTACAGATTGGTCAACATGGTTGACTTTAGAGGGGCTTCAGAAAAGCATCCCATCCCCAGGTTTCTTTCCTTCCAAGTGTGTGATGTGGTTATTGGGGAATCACTTTACCTACTTTCTAGCTTCCCTCTGATGCCTTTGCTTTATCCAATTGTTACTAGATTAAGTTACCAGTGTCTGTAGAGAAAACTTCTTTGACACCTATGAATAATTTTGAAGTCACTAAAGCCAGGAAACAAACCTCCTTTGTCAGTCGGGTGTAAATTGAATCAAGCTATCTTGACTCCTCTTGATGACTACTTAAGCTCCAGCTTGGATCACTCGATCAAGGAAAATCCAGGATTATTCCAATCCATATATGTAACCTGCAAATGATGTAATAACACGTTAATACGGTTGTAAAGGATCGAGTTAAGCCTTACAAACTCGACCCGCTTCTAGCTACAGTGTGGTAATACATTTCTTTAAAAGATTAGTATGTATTTTATTTAAACTTCATTTTTTCAAATATCAAATGAATTTCAATAAAAAACTATTTTTTATTGTTTTAATTTTCAATAATTATATACTTTAACTCCATATGCAAGGTCTTGAGTATGCCTAGGCTAAGCTCTCAAATAATGGCAAGCTTAATTAGTAAAACCTAGTTAACCTTAATACTAATATAATATTACAAGGTCTGTCACATATATATATATATATATATAATTAAGTTTATTTAAAAAAAGTTAATAAATTAAATCAATAAATAAAATACATGCAACATTTCTTAATTACGTTTGTAAAGTTTAAAAACATATTTTTTGTAGCAATATACACTATTTTCTTCATGAGACAAATCCAAGACCAGGAAAGGAGAGAATTGCACTTGGATTGTGAAAAGGAAGAAGGTTAAAAAAAGGGATGGGGCCGGGGGTGTGGGGGGAGAGGTGGTTAGGTAAAGTGTCGCCAAAAAGACTTCGTTTTGTTATATAGGAAAAATTTATCAGTGAAAATTTTTAGGTGAGGAAATCTTTTAAAATTCTATCAAAAGTGTTGAGAATTTTAAAAAAATTTTCTAATATATTAAAATTTCTATAAATTAATACTTAATAAATTAATAATTTTAATTAAATAATATTTTTGATCAATCATGACTTAGGACCAACATGGTAAATTAATAATTTACTAAATTTATAAGATAATATATTTTTTAAAAAACACAAAAGTCTCACTTGATATAAAAATTAATCATTTCCTTATACATCAAAACACATAGGTTCTAATTAAGAGGCTTTTGTAAAATATGACTCCATTGTTATATATTTCTTCTTGAAATTAATATCTTATTGGACCTTATCTCTAACTTTTTTTAGTGTATTAAGAAGCACTGGTTTAGTGCTCTCATATTGTAAGAGAAAATAATACAATGTGATTGTTGCTTTGAGTGTATCTTTGCCCGAAATGAGCTCTAATACAGAACTATCATCTTCAATTTTATCTTTAGAGTCATTTCACATAATGTTTTCAATAATTTGTTCGTCACGAATAATGATAATTCATAAGTCGTTAATTAGGTAATATTCATATAATCACAATACACAATACATGTATTAAGTTCAATGTTTTAAAAAAAAAATAAAAATACCTTGATAAATTAATTTTTTATTCATTAATATATAAATTAATAAATTATTAATTTATTTATTAAATAATATCTTGATTAATTAATAAGGCATTAATTTAAAGAGGTTTTATTGTATCAAGGATTTTATTTATTTTTAAGAAAGAATAAAAACAAGAAAAATGAAAGTAAATAAAAATTAACCAATGATGGGATTTTTAAAAAGTTGAAAGTTATCAATTTCTTGAAAATTTTTAAGTGAAGAAAATTTCTAAAATTTTTTTACAAAATGCGTTGGAAAATTTAGAAAAAAAATTCCAACATCAAGGGTTTTCATTTATTTTTAAGTAAAAAATAAAAAAATAAAGGTATAAAAAATGAAAGAAAATAGAAATTAGCCAATGGTGGAATTTTAAGAAAGTTGTAAGTGATAATTTCCTTGAAAATTCTTAATTGACGGAAATCTCTAAAATTTTACCATAGGTGTTGGACAATTTAGAAAAATTCCCAATATTTAGTATTTTCATTTACTTTCTTTTTTAAATTTGCAAATGATTGGTTTAAGAGATAGTTTTAAAATGAAATAAAATAGAGTAAAAATTAATATATCGATAAATAAAAAAAGAAACAAAAAAATAAAAATTACAAAAGATAAATTGAAAAAGGAAACTTTGAAATGGATAAAGGGCATGAAAGATAAAAAGGAAGAAATAAAGAAAACAAAAATGAAAAATGAATAAAAGATTTAATATAGGACCCTTTCTCATAAAATACCGAATGAATCGACGGTTAAACGTTTTCAAAGAAATAAGTGATTTTCTTTAGTACTCATTAGGTGAGGAGGCTTTCCTTAGTTTTCAACAAAAGCGTAAGAAAATGTTAGGAAAAGTTTTGTTATGAATATTTTTGTAAATATCAATATATGTTATGTGTATCTAGATTTAGATATAGATGAGATTGGATTAATATTAAAATTTAATTCATCTATATAATCCCTTAATATTATCTTCATCTTATAAATTTTATATAGATAAAAGGTTATTAGCTTGTTAGATTTAACGCTTCATTTGATTCTAAGTTTTGATTTGACAAATAAGTGATTAAAATTATTTTTTAAATGTTCAAACAAGTCTAAATGGTCCTTCGAAAGGTTTTAATGAAAAAGCTAACTACTTAAATTGAAAACAAACAAAAAGACTCTTTTAATTGAGAATCTACCTTCCATCTATTGTTAGATGTTTTTCATCTATCCATAGATAGACTCATCTATCGATAGATGAAGACTATCTATCGATAGTTGGTTATTCTAGCATCGGAATCTCAAAGACTATGAACATCTATCAGTAGATACTGCACATTTATCGATAAATAACCACTCAAGAACACTTTTAAGGGACCTTAACATGCATCTATTGATAGATGCCGTGCATCTATTGATAGATAGCCACCCAATAACACTTCAAAGGGACCTTGACTTGCATATGTTGATGGATACTTATATCAAGCGATAGATAAAAGCCACTTTAAAATTTATTGAAGGCAATTTATGGATAGATCGTAAAATATATCAATCGATAGTGATCATTGGAGTTTGAAACATAGTGCAAAATAGCTTTTTCACATTTACTGCACTTTCAACCACATTAGAAGCTTCAATAACTATAAATACAAGCTCCCATCACATTTATGAAAGTTGAAAGACATCGAAACACAATTTCAAAAGAAGAATTCACCTACAATCATTCAATACTCTTTATTCTTCCCTTTAAGCATTTGAGTCTTCTATTGTATCATTTATTGAATCTTCAATTCTTATGTTTCTTCCTCACCTAAAATTATCCTTAATTTGCTCCTTAGCTTTTAAGAGGCATTCTAACTACAATCATCTCATTTATTGTATACTTGTGATTGGTTATATACCTTAACCAATTGGAAAAGTAGTGTTTGAGTGGTTATACCTTAACTAAAGTAAAAGGTAGAATGTTGTCGGATTTACTACGTAAGTACACGTATCGTTAACAAGTAATATAATAAAAAGTAAAGTTCATTCCCACGGAGAATTATCTCAAATTTTTTGTTAAGTGCTAAAATTAAAATAAATTAATCTTATTCAAATAACAAAATTTTAGAACTACTGAAAATTAAATAAACTTAAAACTAAAACTAGAAATGCAACAATATCAATTTAACTAAAATCAATTGTTGTATAATTTTTTATCCACTCAAGTATATATACTGAACAGATAATATAATGATAAGTAGAGTGTCGATCCCATAAATAATTGATCTAAAATTTTGTTAAGTACTAAAATTATAACAATTTAATCTTATCCAAACAGTCGAAATTAATTAGTTAAGCTAAAAATTAAATAAATCTAAATCACAATAAACTAAACTAAAAACCACAACAAATTAGAGAAAAATAAATCTAAATAAGCTTAAGATTACAATATCCCTCACACTTCATCTAAAATTTATCTCTCCCTCTTAACTTATTTCAATGGATTGAATTGCTAACCTAGAATCCTTAATTATTTATAAAGCTCTTTTGAAACTCTTATAAAAATAACAATTTTAATTAGAATACTATATTCCTATATGAATTGAAATTAAAACAGACTCATTAAGTTCAAGCTCTAATCTAATTAGTTATATATAGCATATAGGTATATTCTTATCCTATACACTAATCATATAGCCTTAACTTCCTCAATGCTGCAACCTTGAGCAACTCAAGGCTGTGGCTTCCAATCAACATGCTGCCTTATGTAGACTATAGTCATTGTGCATCTTCCAACACAAGTTTTACCTTGATCTGATTCAAACTGGGTTGTAATTGTTGGAGTAGGGGTTATTTTGTTGTTTATTCTCCACAAATTGCATAGTTTCTGTCAAATTTGGACATTGACGGCTTGCATGACCATTTCCACAATATTCACAAGCTACAAAAGGACTTTGAATGAAGTTAGTACCAAAAGATTCAAGTGTCTTAGTTAAAGTTGTTGCTTGTGCAAATAAGCCGCAAAAGCATTTACATCATGAATTCTAACTATTTTTCTGTGCATTGACTGTTCTATTGGCTATTGGTAATTTTTTGCAATCATTTCTTTCAACAAATCATATGCCTTATCAATCAATTTAACCATTAAAGCTCCTTTCATCGTGGCATCAATGGTGGTCCGAACATGACCACTCAAACTAGTGTAAAATGTATGCAGTTGAAGCCACTTTGGAAGACCATGATAAAGACAATGCTGAAGTAATTCTTTGTATATTTCCCAAGCCGCATACAATGATTTAGAATCTTGTTGCATGAATGATGTGATATCATTCCTTATTTTCGTTATTTGGCCAAAGGAATGAACTTTACAAGGAATTTTCGAGCAAGATCATCCTATGTTATTATTGAGTCGATAGGGAGCGCATTCAACCATGCTTTTGCTTTATCCCTCAATAAGAAAGGAAAAAGCCTCAAACAAATTACATCATTGACCCTATTGTGTATCACATACCTCCAAAAGGTTTGATATATGACCATTTAGATCATCATTTGGTAAAACCCCAAATTGGATTGAAGTTTGAATCATGGTGATGATGGTTGACTTGATCTCGAAATTATTGGCTTGAATAGTCGGCCTTTGAATGCTTGATGGAATCCCTTGCACCAATGGGATAACATAATCCCTTAAGCATCAATTTTCAATTGCTATGGGTTGTTGGATTTGCTGTTCATCCTATTGATCAGCCATTGTATTTGTTTTAGCAAAACCTTGTTAATTTTCTCATCAAAGTTTGCGAAATGTTCTCTCAATTTCTAGATCCCAAAGTATAATCTCCAAGCTTTTTGCTCTTCTCATACAACGACTAAACATACCTACAAAACAAATAAATAAAACTTAATTTAAGAGTAACTTGTGGAAGTTTAATATTCACAAATAATAAAGAAAACAAAATCCCGACAACAACACTGAAAACTTGTTGTCAAATTTTTATGCAATTGCATATTATAGCAAACAAGTAATATAGTAAAAGTAGAGTATCGTTTCTATAGGGATTTGTTTTCAAATTTTCATTAAGTACTCAAATTTTATAACAAATTAA